TCCTGAATGGAGTGGAAATATTCATTTTGAAAAAAAAAAATAATCAGGACTTAACGGACATAACGCATAAATACAGAAGAGGAAAGAACAGGTAACGGTACTGAATTGCCGTATTTGATAAGGTCTTTGTAGAAATGCAAATGCCAAGTGAATTGCAGAGTTCACTATCACATCTTTACTATCTCTTCAAAACATATTGATCCTGGAGTTTCTGAAGAATACTGGTGGCTTTTCTTACTAAGTTATACAGTGAACTCACATTTTAAATCAATTGTGAATATTCTGACAGAGAATAAAATGAGAAGAAAAGTATTTTTTTAATAAGTGATTGTAGTCAAAGACAGTTCAGGTTTCTTGGCTAGACTTCTCTGCACTGTTGGCCCAAAAGATGATTTGTTTGAATAACACTGAGACCTCTTTCAATACCCAGCTTTGATGTGTTAAAAAATTTCCAAATCCTTCCAGACACCCAACCACCTTTCCTATGCACAAGTCTTTTTATCAGTGACTATGAACATGACACAGGGATAATGTCCAGTTCATAGAAAATGTCCTGGTTTTCCTCTGGGAAGACCTTTATCTACTTGCAATAACTGAGGAAATGATTTAAGTGGCAAACCATAGATGTCTTTTGCCATTAGAGATACCCTACAGTGTCCAAACTACTCTGACAAAGGGTAAACATAAAGGCCCATGAAAGCAGCTGCAGATGGAGGTCAAGTAAGGTACACTAAGGCACGTCTAGACACATGGTCTAGACTTTTGTGCTTACTCTTCTGACCTGCTCACTTTGGGTACAGCTGCATATTGCTGTTATAGACACAGTGCGTAACTCAGGTCAGATACATAAGCAGAATGTTATGATTAAATTCATATCCTTTGCTCCTCCTCAGTGCAAGTGGTTAGGAAGCACCTTCCTAATGTGGTCCAGTCTTGCTCTCTCTGTTGTCTACTCACAGCCTTGCTTTTTGCTCCTTGGATGTATTATTAAGGCCATTCTCACCCTATTTGCAGGTGTCCTGGACATGAGGGTCCAAGGTACAATCTCACTGGCTTGTACCACACCATGCTTAATGTGAAGCACAGTTTACTACATCTTGAGAAGAGGTGCAGAACTTTTTCTGTGCTCTATAGATATTTATGCACCAAATCAGACAGCTTGTGTTGTTTTCAAGTAGAGAAATCTTGAGGAAAGAAAGAAGTTCTCCTCGAAGTTACCTTGCTCTCAGTGTTTGATATACTTGAACTAAACCAAGAAGAAAGCAAGTTTATTTAAATTTTCTGCTGAAATAAGCTGGCAACATGTCTTTATTTCCATGACCAGGAAACGTGTGAAGCTTTTCTGATCTGCACAATTCCTCCTACATGGTTCCTTCCCTGGAGCATCCATATATTTAAGCAATGCCTTGTTTAAACACGTGACTCTAGAATTTGCTAATCTGATTTCACGTATAGCTAGAGCAGGTCTGGAAGCAGCACAGGTGTGTTCAACTTTTTCTCTGCTCAGTTTTATGTGCTATCTAAGGCTTTCTTAATGGAATAGATCACACTAAAGCAACACCTTGAGAGAATGTGTGAGAGACTCTATGTAGGCTGTAACATAATAACATTATTGGTCTTAATTTTACCAAGATGTCAAGGGAACAACAAAGAGTTAAATAGTACAAGTTACAAATCGCAGATGGCAGTTTATTTTAGTGGTGGCCACCTTAATAAAAATAAATGGAGAAAACCAAACTCTCTTAATTTGTTGTATGGCTGTAGTGTGGTAGCTGCTTACTTTTGTCTGTGTTCTCTCAGAACAAAAGAGACATTGATTGTATTTATTGTATTTGTACTTGTACAAATACATGCCTGGTGTGAGTCAAACTCCTTCAATCTGTGGAGAATAATAATTTTTTTAAAAGGTAGAATTTCATGCAGTATTCACTTGGTTTCTTGATTTTTCTAGTACGTGTCAAAATATTCTTTAACTGCACGTATCACTGATATCTTCTGGGAAACTGAAACTAGACTGTCTACTGAACTCAGGAAATTGCAAATGTCCTTGAGGCAAAAGAAATGAAATCAGGAGGCCATGAAGTTCAAGCTTACACTTACATTTGATTTCTTCTCTGCTGTTCAGTTGTTGAAGACTGACTCAACAAATTAAAGGCTCTACCAGTGCATAGTTAATGGAGAAACATGAAACGTGGATCCTTTCAGGAAAACATGATAACATTAAAGTGTCTCTGCATTCAACAGGGAAACTTTTTGTTATTGACAAGCCAAACGTGGTTTTATTTTCTCAGATGCAGCTTCTTATTAATGATGAGAGGCAGCTTCTAGTCTCTCCTGTGGCTCTGAGGTTAATGTTTCTTCCCTTTCTTTGCTTTCTGTCTCAGTTTCCATGTTCCCCAATATTTATATATTTTTATTTTTTTTAATTTGTTGGTGAAGACTGTTACAAAATGGCGTAAAAATGTTTATGGAAAGTCACATCAAAATATTCTGCCAATAGTGAAAGCTTAAGTAAGGCTACAGGGAGAGGTGAAGCAAACTGCTGTAGCGCTCTCTCTGCGCCCAGCAGTCTGCATTTCAAATACATACTGACCCAGGCTTGCTCAGATATAATTGACTAAATTTAGTCAGTTTAGCCAGAGAGATCTGTTTGGCTACAAGGAAAAACAATAAAATCAGCTTTTAACCTTAGGCTTTCCTTATAATGAATCAGGTCCTGGTTTTACTTTGCCTCTGCTAAAGAAGACACCAAAAATAAGGATAAATAACACTCTTTTGTCTTTTCACTGTAGACTGAATCTAAACCTTCCTGTCAAAGGCCTATGATTACCCCATAGAAAAATCTGGGCATGCTGAGCTTCTTATTGTTTAGTATCTTTTGATAGATTTTGCATAACTACATACATATATATATATGTTTTGAACTCCTATAACATTTAACATACATGATACCAAGATGAAGACAAGAGTTCAGGTTAACAAGTGGGCAAAGAAACTACCTTTTTTTTAGTCCTATCCTACTTGCATAGAAAATATTTGGGTTTTTTTTATATTATTGTTACTATTAACACTACTACTAAATGACAACTTTTCTAATCTTCATATGCTGAACTGTACAGAAACTGTCACATTCATGTACTGAGACAATCCCTGGACAAGCCTTTCATATATGAGCAATTGTGGAGAGTGAACCACCACCACCAGCAGAACCCTTATTTACTTGTTATTTCTCTTTTATCTTTTTAAAAGGTATTCTAAGAACTTGAATGTCAGCCAATGCAATTTTCTCAATCTTCATCAGGGTTTAGGGGATGATGTAGCAAAAGCCCTTATGTTCTTGGGAGATCCTAGAGATCTGTGACAATATGTATTTTCCAGGCTCTTGGGAGCCCTTACAGCAGAACAATGTTTGTTTTGAAGATAAACAAATCTAATACGGTTATGCCTGGTGTATCCCATGTGGAAAATAGCTGAAATTCATCACTGGGATCTTGGAGATGAAACTGCATCGCATTATCAGTTCCTACAAATGACAAGTAAAGCTTTTCAATAGAGGTTCGTTAGGAAACCCTTTCAATCTTTGGTACAGGGTTGGTGTCTTGTAATATTATAAAGTCAAAAGTGTACAATGGCTCAGTATCTCCTATCACACAAAAAAAGTGCAACACAAGCTCCACCAAACTGATTACACATGACTTAAGATTTACTTTTAAGTGTGTATTGGGTGTGTGGTGGAAGTTTGATGCATTAATGACCCAAACTGTTCACTCCATTCCCTTTATTGGGATGTGAGGAAGTAAAGCTGAACAGTGCAGCTAGGGCTTGAAAATTAACTGAAGAAGATTGAATTCAAGTATTGCTTTACCTGTTTTCTTGTGCCCACTTAGCACATAAGGGAAAACAGACGACTTGACAGATATACTCTGCTTCCTCTGTAGTTTGCCATTGTCAAGAGCAAAGGACATGGGATGGGAAATATGGGATGGGAAATATGAAATATGAATCCCAATAATTGCTTCAGTGCACCAGGATGACCTATTCCATCTTCAATCCATGCACTGATTTTCACGGTGCTTTTCACAGAGTGTAATTTGAACCTTAGTAGTGCCCCTATAAAATGATCTAATGAAACCTCAGGTAGTATTGCCCTTAAATTGATATTCCCTTAAACTGATATTCCCTAGCCACTGTCTGCAATAGGAATGAAATCTTGTATTGATTTCTGGGAATGAATCACATTCTTTTTTTATTACCTCTTTGGGATTTTCTGCTTTCTGTTGGTTGCAATGTTCCTCTTATATGATAACTTATATTTTATTTTTCTTCCCCGCCTTTTGTTGTTTGTTGTTTGGTTTTTTTGGTGGGTTTTTTTTTTGTTTCTTCTTATGGTGGGCTGCTTTAGGAAACAAAAAAAAAGAAAATGTTTGGATCAAGCCATCTCTATTCAGTTGGCATTGGATGCTCTTTTGGCAAGAAAGTCGCCTTGTATTCATGGGGAATAAAGGAAGAAGGAAACATTAAGGAATGGACAGGGTACAAGACTGGGAGAAAGAGCTTTTGATGTAGTTTTGAATCCTGGGTGAGGTTAATGGATTGTGCAAGGTTCATGAGAAACTGGTGCAAGATCAAACTGAGCCTCAGTTGATTTCTGATTCGTCTTTTAGTTATTTCTCTATTTAGAAGGACATTTGTTTCAGCTTTATATGAAGAAGGAATGCAATAAAATAAAGCAAACACATTAGAAATTACTTGACAGGGAGAACAACATAAAAAGCCCAAACAATTTATGATAATTATAATTCCATGGTTTGGACATAAGACTGATGGGGGTGCGGGAGGGGGATAAATAAATAATTGTTGCATTTTTTCTCATCTTCTAAGGTTGTTTTCTTTTTTCTTTTTGAAATGAGACCTCAATACTTACTGTTGTTGCCTGATAAGCTCACTAACAGTTTGAAGTTTGTAACTGTTCTTTTTCCACATTTTTCCTCACATTTCAGGTTACAGCAACCCATTCCAACTGCATCATTAAAAAGGAGCAGGAGACTTGTCTGGAGAAGATACGGAGGGCAGCTGCCCTGAACCCTCTCAATGACTCTTCTCCAGGTGTGTTTCAGCTTGCAATATACCATGTACATTGAACTGATGGTTTCTAAACATTTCCTGTCGTGTCTTCAGGGGTTTTTGGCAATGGCAATGCAAACATCTTACAGTAAGAGGTGCAATCACTGCAGCTGAATGAGCTTAGAGAAACATTATAAGGACAAAAAATCAATCAATGGGGATGTACCAGAACAATTGCTGGTTATTATCAGAGGTCAGGAATTTGCTTCTGTGCTTTAGATGATGCAGTGATATATATCTACAAAACTAATCTAAAAATGAAAAAAGAAAAAAGAAACACCATGTCTGGATAGGCCTTGATAATGTTTGTGTCTTCTGCTGAAGCACATGGTAACAGCTTTTGGGAACTGGACATAAGACTTAAGTGCATCATTGGTCTGCTTTGTAACAGTTCATTCCCTCCTCAGCTCAGTAATAATTTGTGCATCTCTCACATGTTCTGAAGACATTTACAGGGATTAACATTGTGATGACCATAATCTTGATGAAGAATATTTGTGCTGTTGCTAAGATAAGGAACTGAGGCAGCAAGCAAAGAAGTTAATAGTTTAATATCCTGCCTCATTTCTCACTGACTGCAGCAGGATCTGCCTGTGGCCAGCACTACTGAGAAAAGGGCAAAGAATTACAAAGAAACTAATTGGAAATCAGGGTCTGCGTTCTGAGTCCTGTCCAAGCTGCTTCTATTGTGACTAGAATTAGTAAAACTGCAGAGAAAAGCAGATAAAATGCATTGTGTGTACGATAAAAAAGGGGAGCTTTCTCTCCCCTTTTCTTCACCACGTATTTTACCCCAGAAGCAAGGAGGAGCAGAATGCAGATATCTGTGTTACCAGAGCATTCTCTGAAGCAAACCATTCCTGTATTATAGCTTCTAAGAGTATTTGCATCAGAGAATATTTATCTCATATCCATCCTGCTCTTCATCTCATATATAAGGTCATTTTTCTTCTGCTTCCCAGCTTTGGGCAAAGGAACTGTGTGGTTTGGTGGAACTGAAGAAATCATATACTTCAGGCCGTTCATTTCAGCTCCAAGGATGTTTTGACACCCTCTCTACACAGTACAGAAGATATTCCAAATTCTTCCCTGGTCCAGAAGTGGCATAAGAAAGGGAAAAAAGGCAGAAAAATTTGTTTCTCCTCCCCTATTCCCCGAATGATGTCAGAAGTTGATCATGATCCCTACTTCTTATGATTATGCAATGACTATTACTTTTATTCAAGAATTCACAGATTTTCCCAGGTCAAAAGAGACCATTTCACCATATAGTTCCTCACTCAAGTCCAGAATAACCCTTATAGTTGGGGGACTATTCATATCTAACTCCACCTCTCTGCCTCTTCCACATTCATAAAGTACATCTCAGAGATAAAGGAGGTCCAGAGCCATTGGAAAGGCTTTTGTGTCTCAATGTGATTAAAATGTATCAGGCATGCAGGCAGGGAGTGAATCTTTTCAAGCACTAACTCAGCAGAAGAATTCAGCTGCTCTTCATTCTGTTGTCCCAGGATCACTGTGCATCCTTTAGTTGTTCACATCCTGGTGCAATGAGTTCCACAGATCATGAATCCTACTCCAGGGTGCTCACATGATGCAAAAAAACATAATGGTAGTAGGATCTCTGCTCCTTTTAGAGCTTGTCTTTTGCACTGATATTTCTCCTTCCTATAATTACTGCATGGAGAGAAATGCACTTTAATGTCAAAAGAAGAACATCTTATGGGTTCCTACGTTTTGCAATAATGCATTAGGTTTCCCCCCTTGCTGTGTTCAGCATCCGTGTACACAGACATAAACTAAATGGTTCCCCAGAGCCTCTCTGGGTAAGATCCAACACAAGCACAATGTTGATTCTGCAACTGCAACCACAGGTCTTGAAGAACAAGGCTGGCACTGTAATAAGGAAAGCATACAGCCCTGATTTGGGCTCTGATGTTTTCCTCTTTCCCTCTCCCTCTACCTCTCGTGCCCAGATGTTATGCTCATTGCTATTTTATTTTTCACAGCCCTGTTTTCTCTCCTTCTGCTGCTGTGTAGTGCCTATAATGCTTCAGAGACAATGGTTGCCTTGAGATTTTCTGTTTGTTTTTCTCCGTGAGTTTTATGATGGCTTCTTCCTCTTAAGTGTTTTAGATTCTTCATGAGCCTTTATATGAAAAGAAACAAGGGGTGTGTGCTGACCCTATGTCTCCATCCCCATTTGACCATCACGTGCAGCCTGAATAAAAGAGAGAATTTGAAAAAAAACAGAAATCTTAGCAGGAACGAGAATCTGACTCCTTCGCTCTGAAGTGGGAATTAAAGTGATAAGGGGAAATAATGAAAGTAAAAGGCAGAAAAGAAAGTAATGATCACTTTGTATTTAGCATCTCCAGGCAGTGTAGCCAGGCTACATCGTGTTTACAGTCTCCCTTTTCTGAGTTTTTGTCCCTGTTCTAGTGTAGAGCTGCCCCCATTCCTGCTGAACACTCTTCTGAATGTCAGCAGTCCTCAAGGGGTGTTCTGCCGGATAAGAATTGATAAAGCTCACTGCTGATCCATATACATTCTTTTTAATTTTTATTTTCTTCTAGACTCTGCTAACATGTTTCCAGCCCTGGTGTTAGGAAAGAATGGCACAGGAGTTACTCAGATACCTAATGGCAGTTTCCTGGTTCAAGTACACTTAGTATGGAATTAATCTAATTAAATGCTGAAACCTGCAAATGCATCTACAACACAAATGAGCGAGTCAGCTTGCTCATTTGTAGCTCTGAATATCTGATAAGCAGACTTAACACATAATTCAAGATTAGATGATACCTTTTTTTCTCTATGGACATATATGGGAGTAAGGATGACCATCTCAGCTGTAAATATTTACAATGTAGTAATCTACATTTTGAGAAAAATCCTACCTCAAGCATCTGGCTCTGTTGTACTGCCTAGGTCATGCTAAATGTCGTGATTACATGAAAAAATCTGGACAGTTACTTTTAACATGGGATGTTTTGATGTGTAGGTCTTCATGCCATTCATGTACTTAACTGTAGTGGATCTACTTAGGCCTGTGTGACCTCAAAAGACAGGCAGGTGCTCAGCAGCCTGCACATTCGTGCTTTCCACATGCATGCACTGGCAAAGAGAATCTCCCAGCTGTCTTCTGCTTCCTGGCGAGCTTCTGTCTGACATAGCTGTAACTCCAAGGGTCTTACACATTTTTCTGGCTTGCTCTGGGATGCACTAACCAGTTTTAATTGATATTGTTCAGGGTCACAGCTGGGAAGTATGCTACTCAGAGAAATCCCGTGATAGAAAGAGTCCTGCTGATAAAGTGTAAAACATTTCTCCAGTTGTAGATTGGCATGATAGGCTTTTCCCAGCCTGTTACCTGTCTTGCTTTCCACAGTTGGAACTTTATATTCCTGACTTTTTCTCTGAATTTGGTGTTCTCTCAAATGATGGGGGAGTTCCTTGAGTGCTCTGTGAACTTCGTCCTCTGATTTAATATTTATAGTGCCTCAAATGCACTAGTCTGGAATGAGGCAAAGTATGGTAATAGTGAACATAGAGAACTTGAATAAAAATAGAAGTGATTAGGACTCACTGGTGATTTTGTGGTTCATGACGTGACTTACTGTCAAATTAACTTGTGGTCCTAGTTAACTAGTCCCACTTCTCCTTCCTTTGAAAAATGTTGAAAGTTAGCTGGTATGAATACTGTGAATAACAATGTAGCAATACTGGAATGAACAAAATCGTCACAATCCGGACTTAAATTAAGCTGCAGGCGCTATACAGAACTTGCTCTCAAATGGAGCAGAAACTAAAAGGGATGTTGCTAGCCTACTGCGAATTCAGCTCCATTAGTGAAGCTGAAGGACTGGAAGTGCATTGTCATTGAAAAAGTTCAGGATCAGTTTTGACAGGGGAAGAAAGGATGCTGTGCCATGGAAAAACTTCTTTGGAATGATCTATGGAAAAGTTTCTTGCTAGTCATGTCTGGAGACAGGACAAAACCCTAATGGGTGAACCACATGTATGTTCCTGTTTCTTGGAAAAGGCTCTAGCATGTTTCTTTCTTTGCCCTCTATAATATGCGGCCAAGCTATATATATGTATGTATATGTGATCTGCCTGGCAAGACCAATAGCATAATAATGATAATTGTAGCTGTGAAGGTTTTCTGGTAACAGGGATTAAAACCCCATCCATGTTGTAGCCTAGACGGAATATGAACATGCACATATTAGTGCCAGTTGAACAGGGATAGTAATTTGGCATTGTAACTCTGCTGAGATCATGGGCTTAGGAGCAGACATAATTTTCTGCAGCGCAGTGTTGTGCTTGTGTAAACCTACAACTTTTGCTTCTAGATCTAGCTGGGTTGCCATTAGACAGGGGGTCTCTGTACAGTTCTTCAAGGGAAATCACAGTGTCTTTGATAATCCTATGTGTCTCAGGGTCAAGAAAATCTTTCCTTAATATATATTAAGTTCCCTTTCTCTTCAGTACCATGTGTTATTTATAGTATAGTCCTAAACCATGGCAAATTGATGGAGTGTGTAGGGCTGTAGCATCATCACCAGGACAGTATTCTGCCATGGATTTTCTACAGTACACATGATAAATATGGATACTTTAGTCTCTGTCCTAAAAATCTTATCCCCAAATCCTACTAGTTCTTATTCACTGCTTTGTCTCCAGGGATGTGATTTGTCTCTCTTGATTTTGGTAACTAACCTAAATTGTCTAGTATAAACTATGTCTAAGTAGCCACTGAATAGCTGTGGGTCTTTCCTTAGAGCTATTCCTTCCAAACTGTTATGGGTTCCTGACATTTCTGGAAATTGTTCTCTGGAATGGTCTTTCTCTCTATTAACTTAAGAGGGAAGCTGGAGGACAATTTAAGCTAAAGGGACTCTGTAAGAAAGTTAAAACTTAGGTGAGGTGATCATTAGCCTGGAGATAGTCAGTTAAGATGGCTCAGAAAACATGCA